TGTTCAAGGTGACACACCATCAGTGGTGTTCAAGGTGACACACCATCAGTAGTGTTGAGGGTGACTTACCATGGGGGATGTTCGAGGCGACACACTATCAGGGGTGTTCAAGGTGACACACCATCAGGTGTGTTCAAGGTGACACACCATCAGGGGTGTTCGAGGCGACACACTATCAGGGGTGTTCAAGGTGACACACCATCAGGGGTTTTCGAGGCGACACACCATCAGGTGTGTTCAAGGCGACACACCATCAGTAGTGTTCAAGGCGACACACCATCAGGTGTGTTCAAGGTGACACACCATCAGGTGTGTTCGAGGTGACACACCATCAGGGGTGTTCGAGGTGACACACCATCAGGGGTGTTCGAGGCGACACACCACCAGGTGTGTTCAAGGTGACACACCATGAGTGGTGTTCGAGGTGACACACAATTTGTGGTGTTCGAGGTGACACACCTTGAGTGGTGTTCAAGGTGACACACCATCAGGGGTGTTCAAGGCGACACACAATCAGATGTGTTCAAGGCGACACACAATCAGGGGTGTACAAGGTGACACACAATCAGTGGTGTTCAAGGTGACACATCATCAGGGGTGTTCAAGGTGACACACCATCAGTGGTGTTCAATGTGACACACCATCAGTGGTGTTCAAGGTGACACACCATCAGGGGTGTTCAAGGTGACACACCATCAGGGGTTCTTCAAGGTGTCACACCATCAGGGGTGTTCGAGGTGACACATCATTAGTGGTGTTCAATGTGACACACCATCAGTGGTGTTCAAGGTGACACACCATCAGGTGGTGTTCAAGGTGACACACCATCAGGGGTGTTCAAGGTGACACATCATTAGTGGTGTTCAATGTGACACATCATCGGTGGTGTTCAAGGTGACACACCATCAGGTGGTGTTCAAGGTGACACACAATCAGTGGTGTTCAATGTGACACACCATCAGTGGTGTTCAAGGTGACACACCATCAGGGGTGTTCGAGGTGACACACCATCAGGGGTGTTCGAGGCGACACACCACCAGGTGTGTTCAAGGTGACACACCATGAGTGGTGTTCGAGGTGACACACAATTTGTGGTGTTCGAGGTGACACACCTTGAGTGGTGTTCAAGGTGACACACCATCAGGGGTGTTCAAGGCGACACACAATCAGATCTGTTCAAGGCGACACACAATCAGGGGTGTTCAAGGTGACACACAATCAGTGGTGTTCAAGGTGACACATCATCAGGGGTGTTCAAGGTGACACACCATCAGTGGTGTTCAATGTGACACACCATCAGTGGTGTTCAAGGTGACACACCATCAGGGGTGTTCAAGGTGACACACCTTCAGGGGTTCTTCAAGGTGTCACACCATCAGGGGTGTTCGAGGTGACACATCATTAGTGGTGTTCAATGTGACACACCATCAGTGGTGTTCAAGGTGACACACCATCAGGTGGTGTTCAAGGTGACACACCATCAGGGGTGTTCAAGGTGACACATCATTAGTGGTGTTCAATGTGACACATCATCGGTGGTGTTCAAGGTGACACACCATCAGGTGGTGTTCAAGGTGACACACAATCAGTGGTGTTCAATGTGACACACCATCAGTGGTGTTCAAGGTGACACACCATCAGGGGTGTTCAAGGTGACACACCTTCAGGTGTTCTTCAAGGTGACACACCATCAGGGGTGTTCGAGGTGACACACCATGAGTGGTATTCAAGGCGACACACCATCAGTAGTGTTCAAGGCGACACACCATCAGGTGTGTTCAAGGCGACACACAATCAGGGGTGTTCAAAAAGGCACACAATCAGGATGTTCAAGGTGTCACACCAGCAGGGTGTTCAATGTGACACACAAGCAGGGTGTTCAAGGTGACACACCATAAGTGGTGTTCAAGGTGACACACTATCGGGGGTTCACCTTGACCTGCCACCGACAGGTCACCGACAGGTCACCTTGCCACGCTGTGGGAGTTACATGGACCCCTGGTAACCGATCTCTAGACGTATCACCAACCTCTCGCTTCCAGTTACGTCTACACAATCTCAATATATTCGCCGTCTCTCTGGGGTTATCGATTCAAATCATATTCGACGCTCCGAAAGCATTCCCTGTCCCTCCATTGTTGATACACGTGGTTACAGTATGCGCCTGTGTACAGACTTGCGTCTCTTAGCTACCAGGATCTGATGGTCGTATGATTGATATGAAAGTCAGCTCCCATTCAATACTTCAAGTCTTGTGGACTTAACCCAGAGTGGCAAAAATCTAAGATCTAAGTGGGCGGTCGGGTAGCCTAGTGGTTAAAGCGTTCGCTCGTCACGCCAAAGACCCGGTTCGATTCCAAACATGGGTACATTGTGTGATGCCCATTTCTGGTGTCCCCCGCCGTGATATTGCTGGAATATTGCTAAAAGCGGCGTAAAACCATACTCACTCACTCACTCACTCACTCACTAAGATCTAAGTCACTGGGAGCTTTCGTGTTTCGGAAGTATTGTACATCGTACATGGTTTTACATGACTTCACATGGGTCAATATAAACATCGCAATGGTTTCACATGGGTCAATACGTACATCGCACATGGTTTCACATGACTTCACATGGGTCAATACGTACATCTCACATGGTTTCACGAGATTTCACATGGGTCAAAACGTACATCGTAATGGTTTCACATGACTTCACATGGGTCAATACGTACATCGTACATGGTTTCACGAGACTTCACATGGGTCAATACGTACATCTCACATGGTTTCACGAGACTTCACATGGGTCAAAACGTACATCGTAATGGTTTCACATGGGTCAATACGTACATCTCACATGGTTTCACGAGACTTCACATGGGTCAAAACGTACATCGCACATGGTTTCACATGACTTCACATGGGTCAATACGTACATCTCACATGGTTCCACGTGACTTCACATGGGTCAATACGTACATCGTAATGGTTTCACATGACTTCACATGGGTCAATACCTACATCGTAATGGTTTCACATGACTTCACATGTGTCAAAACGTACATCGTACATGGTTTCACATGACATCACATGGATCAATACGTACATCGTATTGGTTTCACATGACTTCACATGGGACAATACGCACATCGGACATGGTTTCACATGACTTCACATGGGTCAATACGTACATCGTAATGGTTTCACATGGTCAAAACGTACATCGTACATGGTTTCACATGGGTCAATACGTACATCGTAATGGTTTCAAATGACTTCACATGGGACAATACGTACATCGTACATGGTTTCAGATGACTTCACATGCGTCAATACGTACATTGCAAAGGTTTCACATGACTACACATGGGTCAATGCGTACATCGTAATAGTTTCACATGACTTCACATGCGTCAATACGTACATTGCAAAGGTTTCACATGACTACACATGGGTCAATACGTACATCGTAATGGTTTCACATGACTTCACATGGTCAATACGTACATCTTACATGGTTTCACATGACTTCACATGGGTCAATACCTACATCGTAATGGTTTCACATGGTCAATAAGTACATCTTACAAGGTTTCACATGACTTCACATGGGTCAATACCTACATCGCACATGGTTTCACATGGTCAATACGTACATCTTACATGGTTTCACATGACTTCACATGTGTCAATACGTACATCGTAATGGTTTCACATGGTCAATACGTACATCTTACAAGGTTTCACATGACTTCACATGGGTCAATACCTACATCGCACATGGTTTCACATGGTCAATACGTGCATCTTACATGGTTTCACATGACTTCACATGGGTCAATACGTACATCGTAATGGTTTCACATGACTTCACATGGGTCAATACGTACATCGTACATGGTTTCACATGGTTTCACATGGTCAATTCAACACAGTCAAACACTGATTTCTAGGAAGAGGCAGTAAGGTTTATGTGACGTATACATTTGATTTGAACGTCAATGATGTCGAAATTGCCAGCTGTTCACTAATATAGCTAAAGTAGGACAAGAAGTAATATACTGGCCCCAGTATCGATGTGACCTCTTCAAGCCGAGGCTAGCGTCACCGTGGCATGCTTGGTGTGTTTGGCAATAAAACAATTCCGTTGTGGATATAACATTAAAAGAATATCGCTGCCAAAACAGATTGAGTCATTAAAGTCATTACATCCCTTAGCACGTCTATCATTGGGCACAGCGCACTTGGAATAAATCATTGTTTCGCCAGAACCGTCAGTTTCGATCTTGGACGGTTCTACACGGCGGTAAATATGTCTCCGCGGAGTGGAACGAATGTTATATTTTTATCGCCATATGCATTTCCATTTGTGTCAATGAGCCGTAAAGCTGAATGAGAGTGGCTTTGTTTGTTCACCAAACATACAGATTGTTCTATGGCCCTATAACTTAGACGTGTGACATCCTGTATTGACAACCAAGGCTTGATGACTTTCCATGGCAGGAATTAAACCCAGACAGGCTGCCCCTGGCATACTATGTAATCCTGACAATGCAATATTGACCACTGGGACTAATTGATGACAGAATTGGTTGTCAGTGTTCATGTTATCAATTAGCAAACAACGCACAGCCGTGGAGATATGGGTTTAATCAATGGCAAGGCAGTCCTACAGTTGGGGGGCCGCCCAAGTCAGTGCTAACCACACCGATATTTCAACGGTTCGCAACCCCTGAATGGAAAACTAATATGAATAATAGAAATCGCATCCCTCATGCTATAGCAACGGTGTAATCGATCCATATAGTCCTGACAGACGAGTTCATTATGGCGGCGGGTACGAGAACACTAAGTCTGGTCGATAAAGCTACATTCAATGTCCGTTACCACATATGATGTCATTCAAACTTCATTCATACTCACTGGAAAATTAGCTTCAAAATCAATATCGATTTACGTGGCCATCTTGAATTAAATTAGCAATCACCATTATTGGCACCAGTCCTAAGCCCCTTTGACAATTGACTCGTCCGACCTCAGAGTCCACTGGTTGTCTTGGGATCTTCCCATCCCTCCGCCGTTAGAGCTAGGATACATAGTTGTCCATCCTCCCTACAGTGAGTATCAGACGGAGTATTTGCAGCAGCAGCAGCAGCAGCAACAGTCCACGACGTTGACTACGGGAGATATTGTACGTGGTGCCTGCTAAAGACAATGATGCGGCTGACCATTGTCCTAGCTCTCGTGTGTTTTTCACAAACCGGTGAGTTTTAAAACAAGTGTGTTCGTTTTCGAGACAACAGCAATATACCTTACATCTATGTAACCCATTGAAGGCTGTCTCCAAATGCATGAAAAATGCATGATCATACCATGTTACGTGCTCACGAAGGATGTTTCAGAGCTATGCTCTGTGACTGAAGCAATGACGGTCTTTAGTACTCCATTTTAATACAAAATGAATTCCATGCCTATCAAACCATACATTACATCGTTTCATTTGCAAGGGAAACACGTATCTAATTTCATTTCACCGCATGACTGTAATAGAAATGTTTGGTTTAATGACCATTCCACGACATTCATGACAATCGTTGCATTTTGGTCTGGCGATATTGATAGTCTCATGTGTTCAATCGTGTTTAATAACATGTCATGACTTTTATACCATTATGGCATAAGACGATGTACATGTCATGACTATATATATATATCCATCTCCAGTGATATATCCAGAGAACAAGACCCAAACGAGCACAGTGAAAGTGTAAGGCTTGTTCTGTGGCCGCAACCATTACACAATCGGATCAATAGTTACCATAGCTAATTGGCCCAAATGAGTATATTGTCCATAACAAATACAATAAGACATCCCCGTAGGGATTCCTATTCAGAATACGTCCTCTGCCCCCCCCCCCCCCCCCCCCCCCCCCCCCCCCCCCCTCCCCAAATTCGCTTGTCGTATGGAGTCTTGATGGATTGGGAGGCATCGTTCCCCGACAGCGTGGGGCGTTGCTCATGATATCAACCATTGGTTTGTTTATCCAGACCAGATTAATTACAGGCCGCTCTGATATGGCTGGAATATTTCTGAGTTTGGTGTTAAACTAAAAAATAATTTTAGCAATACAAATTTAAGAACTATTTTTGTTAGGGTAATATGACTAACCAAACAAACAAGCGACCATTAAATGAATGAATGAATGAATGAATGAATGAATGAATGAATGAATCTTTATTTGCTCCAGTCTCATCGGAGAGTCGCACAAACATACATACAGTAAACTACGGTTAAACCGAACTCAAAGGGACTACTAATTTTAGTTCGTTATAACCGTAGTTCGTTATAAGTTCATATACATCATGACTACAGCAAGTAGTCGGGACCAAAAGGTAAGTTCGTTATATCCGTCAGTTCGTTATAAGCGTGTTCGTTATAACCGTAGTTTACTGTACATATAGATACAAGTAATCAAATTACTTTGAATGATTTACATGCAGTCATAGGTTTAAGTGTAAAAGTAATCAGTATAAACTTAATAATTTAGACGAGGAGACAGCTCAGTTATATGTACAGGGTGCACTTTGGATTTCACGTTGTCATTGCTTTTAAAACAATTGAGAAGTTAGCCAATGTTTCGAGTTACAAGTTCTTAATTATGGTCGTGCTTCTAGATTACAGTGTCTACACACTCGCCGTCTTCTACTCGCATATACTGTTCTATGCTGAGAATGTCAAAACGATTTTCCCACGGTTTATTTCATTGTCATATGCTGACAACCCAGGAGATGATGATGTACAGTGTCCAGAGCTTCTTTATCACACAGAGGCATTTACCAGTAATAACAGGTTGTATACCAAGTCTCATCAGTGTAAACACTGACTGCGGATGAATGAGGAATAACATACATATATTCCATGATCTGCGTGGTTTTAGCTTGGCATGTATTCTAGTGTATCTTGTAATTCTTGTTAACCAAACGTTATTATATTGTATCCAATAACCAAACGTTATAATATTGTATCCTCTAACCAAACGTTATTACATTGTATCCTCTAACCAAACGTTATTATATTGTATCCTCTAACCAAACGTTATTACATTGCATCCTCTAACCAAACGTTATTACATTTTATCCTCTAACTAAACGTTATTACACTTGATCCTCTAACCAAACGTTATTATATTGTATCATCTAACCAAACGTTATTACATTGTATCATCTAACCAAACGTTATTACATTGTATCCTCTAACCAAACGTTATTCAATTGTATCCTCTAACCAAACGTTATTACATTGTACCCTCTAACCAAACGTTATTTCAGTTTATCCTCTAACCACACGTTTTTGCAATTTACCCTCTAACCAAACATTAATGTTTATTACCTTGTATCCTGTAACCAACCATTAACAGCTATAGTCGGAATCGTACAATCGACTCTGTTTTTCGCAGAGATTTCCTATGAATATGGAAAGGGTTTTGTCGCTTTTATTTACACATACCCAAATGACAATGGACTTTATATGTCCTGGAAGTGTTTGATCTATGATATAACTTGATGTGATCTATCATAATCAACTCTCTACAGTTCTTGTCATAAATCGGGTTTAATATAGAAATAATTTGATTGCACACTGGGGCTAAAAAGGACTCCAGCAACCAAGAGCAAAACTGACTGATGAGGTCTCGTTCGTCATGTGACATTATATTTTCTGAAAGTCGGAAACTAGTTTTTTTTATTTATGGTATTCACTTTAGGTTTTACATATGTAACAAATGATATTCAACATATGAGCAATATGTTCACACACGAGATCCAGCCCCGAGCTCAGTTGTCTGCCTAAAGTCACGTACGAGTAAACTTGGTTTGCTTTACCAGGGAAAACAGTGTATTTTCTTGTCAATAGGAACGAGTTTACTGTTGTATCTCGTTTCTTTCAAACGCGTAACAATGCGGAGGAACAAAATGTTCCATTATGGAGTACAGCTTTCATATGGGTTACAACATGTTTTAATTGTGATTTCTTTATATAAGTGATTTGGAGAAAATCGATTATTGTTGTTGTTGATATTATTATTGTTATTGTTGAAAACATAATAACAATTAAATTAAATGTATTAACACGATATCTTTTTCACCAACAACAGCGGCAAAAGTACCGGTTGTTATGTAACACTGCAATACTGTTATTCCGCACTACATACACGAACACAAAGGGGTCGGGTAGCCTAGTGGTTAAAGCGTTCTCTCGTCACGCTGCAGACCCGGGTTCGATTCCCAACATGGGTACAATGTGTGAAGCCCATTTCTGGTGTCCCCCGCCGTGATATTGCTGGAATATTGCTAAAAGCGGCGTAAAACCATATTCACTCACTACTCGGACACACGCGTAACTGTTATATGCGGATTCATCCTAGAAATAAAATAGGATTTTTAAAACTGTTAATTTTGCATCAGCGGTCTGGAATCACAATGTTGAAATGTTGTGTAACTTCCACAAGTAGAAACACGGTTTTCAATAGCTATTTCGAAATACATTATAAAGCTCCATCGTTCATTCTCCCAAAGCGCACGGTGTAAATTGACTTAGTATGTTGTATTAGTATATTGAATTATGTATATACGTAGGCGACTGACAAAAATACCCGGTGCAATATATATATATATATATATATATATATACGTGTTTGGTCACGTGTTTCGTGACGTAAATTTTATAATTTACTCATTTTGTAATCAGCGAGGAGTAATTAGCAAAATTGTGACATAAGTGCTCCATTGACTCTCCAATTAAAAAACACCGCATTCACTCAACCCGCGAGACACTTATAGATCTATATTAATCCTCCCGATTACCTCAGCCTAGTACTAAAGCATAGTCCGTGACGAACTTTCCTTTCTATAGTTTCAGTTCAAGTTGTGGCACTGTTCCACAATACGACTTTGCCAAAACGTCCGATTTACGATCTTTTTAGCGCTCGGATCGCTTTGTGGGTCAGGCCCTGCTTCTACCAAATGGGATGAGGATGTGAGATATCAGAGTGGTGATGATGTTCACATCCTCCAAAGTAGAAACCAACGTTAATAATTTAAGAAGCGGGAGTCTGATTAGATACAGCGATTTAAAACCTCTGGTGCAAGATGGTTGTTTTCCGACCCTCCATCATAGCATTGCGTTTTGTTATTTTTAAAAATGGGAAGTGCGTTTGCTCAGGTATTTACATGTTTTATTTGTCTTGTTTTTTCCTTTCTGCCAACCTTCAAATGTAGGACCAGTGGAACATCTTTACCTATAAATGGGAACTAAATTTGTTCAGATAGAGACACGGTCTGTGATATTTGATTTGTTTGTTTGGTTTGTTGTTTAACGCCGCACTCAGCAATATTCCAGCAATATGACTGCGGTCTGTAAATATTCGAGTCAGGACCAGACAATCCAGTGATTGAAAACATGAGCATCGATCCACGCAATTGGGATCGATGACATGCATCAGCCAAGTCAGCGAGCCTGATCACCCGATCCTGTTAGTCGCCTCTTACGACAAGCATAGTCGCCTTTACGGCAAGCATGGGTTGCTGAACACCTATTCTAACCCGGATCTTCGCGGGTCCTGTGGTATTTGATGCCAGATTATGATAATGTATACACATTTCGCGTTCTTTACTTTTAAATTTTGAAAAAATACACTATAGTTACACATTAAAAAGAAAGTGCATTTTCTAAACTTCAAGCTTTCTGACCGTGTTTTACAGCCATTGTCATCACCTCACAGATCAGATGAATACATGTTCTTCAGATCTATTTTCCAAAGAGGAATATTTTTATTACTGTCAGCAATAACCGTTTTTAAGAAGTGATGCCATATCAATGAAAATATTTTATTAGTTTTAAGATTGTTATTTCCCTTTCAAGTTAACAGACTACTCCTTTCATTGTAAATCAACTTAATCCGGTTTGGCGTTGCTTGGTGCTATCTAGTCCGGCTGACCATGAACCCTGATCCGAGTGCGCCGGGGACTATACCGGTTATACCTGTTCAATACGCCGAGAGAAAAAACGACTGAATAATACATGCAATACATACGGCCTCTGTTTCAGGGCCTTACCACAATCAATGGGAATTAGACTGCTATAGATCATGTGTACTGTAGGTTACAGTCGGGCTTTCATGTTTTATCCAATGATTTCAGGTGTAAAGTCATGTTTCTGCTTCTGGTATCATGACGTGCTATTACATCCAATCGCGAGATGTCTTG